TATATATATATATATACACATCAATATTTATATTCGGTCAAAGAAACCTTTGTTTTGGTCTTTCTATAAGCAGTTTCTACAGAAGAGTCTAGAATCGTTTCTGTTACCTTCTACGATTAGTCATGAATATTCTGTAACACAAAACGGTTATAATGACAGAGCAAGGAGCAACATATTGTGAGATCTTCCCCGTTCGTCAGTGGATAAGTAGACATTACAAAAAACTAAAAGGATATTATGCGCGTTGCAATTATTGTTCGGAGACAATATTATTTCGTCCCACGTCTGTTTTACTCGATCATTTGGTACAGAAACATTCAAACAAATTAACAGAAGAAGAAAAGAAAGATAAACATTCATTGTGGATATGGGATTATTTTACCATAAAAGACACACAGTGGTTGACATGTAATCTATGTGGACATATAATTCGGATAAATAAATGTACTGGTACTGTACGTTTTCACTTACGTAAGCACAAGTAAATATTACTTTAAAGATAATATAAAATATTGATACTGAAGAATATAAAGTTGACAGTAATTGATAGTAAAAAATAAATAACCTGAAAAAATGTAATTAAAATAGGTGTCGGTACAATTCATCGGTACAACACTCATCGGTATAATATGTGTATTATTATTATGTTTAGTGTAAACAGCAAAGTACAAATAATCAAAATTAAAATTTTTTTTCATTTTAATTTTCATACAATGATAATCAGATGTATTTAAGATTTGTATTTATCACGTTGTTATATCAGATTGCATCTCAATGTCCAAGTAATAAGTTGAAAGTTATCAAGCAATACATTTATCCGCATAACGGAGTAATGTGCAAAATTGAAACTAATTTCTATGTTCCATTTTTACTTCTTTAAACACTCTCTATTGTAGCATTTCAGCTCCATGTGTAAATGTGGATGATATGAGTAGCGATGCACTCGCGAATACAACAATAAAAAAAGATCAAATACACTCAGCAACTTGCTCTAAAAACACGGAACAGATAAGTGTTCCTGATAGGTAATTATTCACTATACGTTTATTACATTTATTATAATGTAAATAGATTATTTGAATTATTGCGTTTCCTGTACAAATATAAGAAATATTAATGAAGAACAAGTAGAAAATAGGGGAACAGTTACGTTAATTAAAAAATAGCTAAATATCGTTTGTAATAAGTAACAAAATTTTAATACTTCATGCTCAGTAGTAAAAATGTTGATCCCAAAACATATATAGCTATATGCAATATAAGTATCAGAAAAGAGAATCTTTACTTTCTATAATCTATTATAATAATTTCGCAATGATGTTGCAACTTTTTATGATTATTATTATTATTATTAGGCGTTAGGAACTCGAAAGCTCATTGCCGCAAATACCAACCCCCGCCACTGTTCCCGTCCCTGAGCAAGATCCCTCCATTTGTGACCCTCGTACCCCATTTCGTTGCAACTTTTTATGATGGTAACAATAATTAATTAAAAGCTAAGATTGGAAAGATTACTTTTAAAAAGTAACTTGCCACTATGGATTGTTTATTGAAACAAGTAACTTGCTATTTGTATAGTAACGCGTCGAATCGTTACTTTTAATTGTTACTTTAATTTGTTATCAATAATGAAATACATTTTTCAATAAACAACTCGTGATAATGATAAGTTATTATTAAAAATAATTTTTCTACAATACTTAGTTTTTAATTAATCATAGAAAATTGCACCGTCATCAAATTGTTATCATAAAAAGTAATAATAAAAGTAACGGCGTTACTTAATTTTCATTAGCGTAAAAAAATATACATACACATATTCCATTCAAAAATAATGATTATACAATTACGAGTAATATAAATTTAACATTAAGTATAAATAAATATTTTACAACTTTTCAATTTTTTTCATACTATATATGAATAAAGATCCATTAAGCACTTTAAAAATATATAATGATATTTTGAATCTTTCTTTTCATAGAAATGTGGAAAACCATGTTTTGGATCTTTCTCTGCATAGAAATGTGGAAAACGATGTTTTGGATCTTTCAGTCCATAAAGATATATAGAATGTTTATCACTTCTAAGCCAATCATCATCTCCAGAAAATTTTGATACTGAATTTTGCGAAGAAATCTTCAATCATTTTATACAGACATAACTTACAATGCATTATGT